GATGTCAGATGTGGAAACTGTCGCCCCCCACCCTATGGGCATGACCGGGATGCAACCACCAGGAGATTGAGATTGGCGCGGTTACCCGGGGGAAGAACATGGCGTGATAGAACACGATGCCCCTGGCTGGAGGAGCCCAATATGCTCAGCGCCCCTTGCTTGATGCTCTAGTTCAGATGTCTAGTTCACTCAGGCGGCTCGAGAGATGGCCGGGGAAACGCAGGCACTAGATATTGTCATCTTCCGGCCGCCCCCCCCCCCCCCCCCTATACAGAAGGCCAGATCTCATCTGGACCGCACAGCAGGAGTGGACGATGCTGAAATAGACGCAGCCCTGGAAGAAGCCAGGGCGGCAACTGAGCATCCTGGCTCACTCACAACACAATCATAAGTCTGCCTGGACAATGGAGCGGCCACTACCCGCCTCTATTCTGAAACTGGTGGGGGTTTGGTTTCGTTGTTTCGTTTGTCATCAGCAATTTGAGTTCCGTGCGTAGGCTCAATATCCGTCTCCCGGAACTTAAGAGGACCACTCTCTGGAAAGTGAGAAGTCTATATATACTTTCCATCTTGTATTGACAGGCTAGACTCTCTTGCAGTTGCCAAATCCATAGATGCTGAGGATGCTTCCAACAGGATGACAAGTCCAATTTATAGATAACTTTATTAGTTTCAAGCTTTCTTTCATTACAGAGGAAGGATTGATGCCGTTAATGATGTACTTTTCCTTGTAAGCAAAGTTAATTCTTCTACACAAAGAGTTTCTCGAAAGAATTTATTTATAAGCCACTGGTACAACCAGATATTTTCTTGTAAAAACATACCCTGAAGCAGACAGATAGCTTCAAAAGCCAATTCTTGATTTCTTGCAGCTGGCTAATCTGCCGGTCTAAAACGTGTCTGCTCTGGGGAGTTGTCTAGTCACTGGATAGAGGAGCAGACGTTACAAGGGAGCAAAGTTGAAAGGGGCCTGCCGTTCATTACACCATTAGTTAATAGTTAATAATAATAATAATAATAATAATAATAATAATAATAATAATAATAATAATAATAATAATAATAATAATATATCATGGTTATAATTATAACCTAGGGACAAAAGGGTCGGAAAGAACTGCTCTGGTATCTGGATGTACCCGGCCGGGGGATATAAGGCACCGTAAGGCGCTGTAAATCTGTGTACAGCGTAATGCCGAATACTAGTGGTTTTGGCCCAAGAGCAGGGATCATACGCTGTATTGGGCGTGACGGGATCTGCGCCCTCGCAGCAGTAGCCTCCGGGAGACAGCCCAAGCAGCAGCCTTGGGGAAGAGGGAGCGCGTTCACCCACCCACACCCACCCACACCCACACACCCACACACCCACACACCCACCCACACACCCAACACCCACACACACAA